CACAGCACTTCACGATCAAGAACAATTGCCCCAAAATCTCCGTGGAGCAGATGGCGGAGATATGGAACAAGACAAAGTACGGGTTCGATCCAAGCCATGCACGGAAGATCATGGACTTCCTGAAGTCTCGTGGGTTGCGAGACAATAGATGCGGATCGGGGAGGGAGGCGGCGGGGAATGAGGAGTTTGAGGACAGTGAGGAGGAGAGGAGGGCGGTCGAGGGTGGAGATGATGATGGTGAGAGTGATGCAGAGGACATGGAGGTGCAGCGAGAGGTGGAGCGCGCCAGGGGAAAGTTGAGGAAGGAGAATGCCGTTGATGAGGACAGCACCCCTGACGAGGATGCCGACGACGACGATGACGATGAGGGAGCAGACCTTGGGGCCTCTCCGGATGGGGGGTTGATGGGCGATGGCCGTTATGGCCAAGAGGGCGCAGCTAGGGCGATGAAGGAGGCTGCGGGATCGAAGAAGAGAAAGAGGAAGGCGAAGATGACTACCACTGAGGCGAGATCAGCACCTTCTGAGCCCAAAAAGAGCAGAGTTCTTCGACAGACGTCCATGCTGGAGACCTTCGATCCAGTGTGGCAACGAGAATTCTCGGACTCCGTCCTGCAGTGGTGGTACGTGAGCGGCATCCCATTCAAGGCGGCGAGGAGGCCAGAGTATCATAGGATGAGGAAGAAGTTGCTCGAGTGTCCGCCGTATGCACATCCGGCATTACCCACGCACTGTGTCATTTCGTGCGAAGGCATCCCTCAGCAGCAGCGAGTTGTGGCGGACATGGTGGCAGCCATCCGCAGGGACATTGAGGCGACGGGAGCGGCCATCCTCACGGATGGTCGCAAGTCCATCACGAGCGACCAGATAGTCAACTTCCTTGCTGCTGGTCCCACGGGCGCGTACCTTTTCAGGACTGTGCAGCGGGATGGTGCTGTTCAGGAGAGTGCAGAGGCCGTAGTGGAGCGATGGAAGGACGTGTTCGACAAGTTTGGTGTCGACAAGGTGAACACCATTTGTACTGATTCCGCGTCTGCGTATGTTGCTGCGTCCAAGCTCCTCGCCCAGGAGGAAGTCAAGTACAGCCGCATCACTTGGCTTCCGTGTGCGGTCCATGTCTGCAACTTGTTGTTGTCAAACATCGCGAAGGATGGGCGCGACGGGAGCCTCGGGAAGAGGGAGGACATCATCATGAGGGCTCGAGCTGTCGTGCGTTTCATCAGAGAGCACGGGGCGGCTCTGAGCCTTTATCGACGGTTCTCTGCCGCCCACCCCTCTTCCGCCTCCGCGGCGGCTGGTGGTTCGAGCTCTGCGCCACCCTCGTCTCAGCGGCGAGGCAGGGAGCTTGTGTACCCTGTGCAGACGAGGTTCGCCACCCACTACTTGATGCTGGAGAGGCTGCTGGATCGTCGCAGAGCGTTGGAGGCGTTGATGATGAGCGACGATCGGCTGCGGACTGTATGGAGGAGGTCCATTTTTCTGCAGGCCAGATGGGTGCGTCATCAGGTGCGGTACGCGCCATTCCGGGAGCACGTGGAGGACATCGTGGCGCTCATGACGCCTGTAATGCAGTTGCTACGGCGTCTGGACAGGGGGGGACGCGTGATGACTCGCATGTGGTCGTGAGGTTTTGTCATGGTCGACAGGGTGGTGAGAGCAAGCCTTAACAGGACGTCGAAGGACGAGCTTCACATCGTTGTTTAGGCTTGTCAGGCGCGGTTCGCTCATTTGTTGGAGCCCGCACATTGCATGGCCCACCTCCTCAATCCGAGGCAGAGGAGCATTACTTTTTTTGGAGCGGCGAGGCGTACCGACCACGAGCGGATACTGGCAGACGAGTCGTTGCGATACCTTCGCCAGCAGACTGGTGGTGACGAGGATTTGTATCAGACGTTGCGCACGCAGCTGGCAGAGTTTCATTCTCGGGAGGGCGATTGGACGTATGGAGGGGCCGAGGGAGACAGGGATGCGGCCGCCTGCAAAGGGGAGAAGGAGACGTCACAGGTGGGGCAGTGGTCGGTTCAGCACGGGGACAGGGTCCCTCTCCTTCAGAGCATCACCATTCGCTTGTCGCACACATGGACGTGCGCCTCTCCGGCGGAGAGGAATTGGAACGTCCATGAGCGTGTTCAGGTGAAGAAGCGCAATCAGCTTGGTTTCATCAAGCTGACTCGTTTGGTGGAGATATCCACCAACTTGAGATTGAGTCGTTGTCAGGGGAGGGGTTCTGGGTACGTTCTTCCATGGGAGGACGCTGAGGAGGAGACAAAGGACGCTATTCCTCCGCCTCGTGATGAGGGTGTTCGGCCGGCTGACCGAGTCACCGAGGCACAGCGCGACCGGCAGGTCCAGCGCGGGTGGAAGGATCGCCTTTCAAAGGCACCTCCCAGCGTCGCGACGTATTTCGGTCGTCGCGCCACGGTGCTCATGGCGCATGAGTTGGAGTCGGTGTACGATCCCGAGCCTTATCCCATGGCTCAGGACGCAATGGAGGCTGAGCCGTGGTCCGATCCGGATGACCTGGTCGTGGAGTCAGAGCCAGGAGGTTCTGATGACGATGACGACGACACTCCTCTCTTCCAGATTCCGCGTCCTCGCACACGTGCGTCCACGGCGGCCGCTGCACCGTGCCCCGCAACACGCCCTCCTTCGAGTGCTCCCGACGTCTCACAGCCAGGTCTGGCGGACCATGTCGAGAGCAGTACACCACACCCTTCGACCGATCGTCGTGGACAGGGAGGGACTTGCGAGCGTGTCGACGAGGGAGACGACGGCGATGGCGACGATAGGGAGGGATATGAGGGCAGCAGTGAGGATGAGGATTATCCCTGTTATTCCCCGACACGCGGACATGGTGACGACGACGACGACGAGGGCGGCGACGGTGGACGGGCTGTGGTGGTTTGCGGAAGTCCGAGAGACAGCGTGGCGACCGATGCAGTGGTGCAGGCATGGAAGGCAGCGGGCCGGGTGTTGGGGGTGCAGGGCGCGCAAGTGGTGCAGGGCGTGCTGGCACAGGAAAAATAAGGCGAGAGTCTGCATTGTCCACTCGCACTGTGCATTCGGTTGATGAGGAGAGGCCCGTTGAGGCAGCTGTGGTTGCTCCCTCCCCTATGGAGGTTGCTCCCTCCCCTGCAGAGTTCGCTGCAGCGTTTGGGGAGGTTGTTCCCTCCCCTACATAGTTCGTTGTAGCGTCTGCAAAGGGTGCGGCGGCGTCTGCGGAGGGTCCAGGCGGGTTTGCGGATGGTAGTGGCGATGCTGGAGAGGTTGGGGGTCTGCACAGGTGGGTGTCAGTTTCAGCGACAATATTTTTGATGTTTCGTTAGGGCATCCTCCGACACCGGCAGGGGAGCGTGTCAGTGTCGATGTGGACGCAGCGGCCATGCCCGTCAGTGAGATACTTCGTGACATACCTTCATGCAGCACGGGCGACATCAGTAGTAGCATGTTGCAGGAGGCAGCAGAGGGGGCACCGGGTCGGTCGGGGCAGCACGAGCGTGCAGCTAGGGATGATGGGGAGTATCGACCTGTGCAGGAGCGGGCGACAGAGTCAGAGCAGGACAGGATCGACCGCGAGGAGAGGAGGAGGGCGCAGGGGTTGGCTAGCCGCTGCGAGATGACGCGGAGTGTTGCATCGAGGGGACGTGTAGCGCGGATGCTCGAGACGGGCGTTGAGGCAGGTGATGCAGAGGGCGAGTGCGGCGCTGCGGGCATAGGGGATGCGGGCGAGAGACCTGCGTCGCCAGTTCAGGGTGTTTGCGTTTTGCCTCTCGGTGGGGCCATGTCGGCGGGGGAGTTGGAGCGCCAGGCACGGGAGGACCCGTTGCAGGCAGATCGCCGGGGACGGATGACCGAGGCGTCGAGGAGACTGATGGGAGAGGCCCCGGCTTACGTGCCTTGCAGCCCGTCAGTGCCATCGTCCACCACAGGTGTCAGCACACCCGCATATGTGGAGGGCACAGTTGCGGAAGAGGCAGTACGGGGCCCCTCGCCAACACCTGTCGGGGAGTCTCCTTCTCCTCAGTCACGGAAGAAGAAGATGAGAGCAGGGAAAAATCTTAGTACCGTGAGGAGAGTGACACCGACAATGTGGGCGAATTAGCCTGGGTTGGGCGGTTTACATCCGCGGACACGGGCGATTTTGAGCGGGGACGTTGTCGCAGACGCAGCAGGATGGCAGGAGAGGGTCTCCGACCGAGCGACGGATCAGCCCATGAGCGCACCTGCTGAGGCGACGTTGCCACACACTACAGGGCGTACAACGGGCACCGACAACCACGCCAAGCACAATGCGCCCCCCGGGAGGAGCATGGCTGCACGTATATTGCAGGAGGATGTGACGGCATCGACAGCGCAGCGACCGTCACAGGCGCCAGTCGTTTGGGAGTCTGGCACAAACGATTTGGAGATGCCTTATGGCCAGCGGAGGAGGGTTTCCGTGTATGATCTTCTTCGACCACAGGGAGGGGTTGAGGCTGCGCCACAGGGGGAGATTCATGCTCCGGATACTACGCACGCGCCGACAGGCGGCACAGGTCGTGGGGATGGTGTGACAGATGTGGTGCCGCAGAGGAGGAGGAAGGACATTGTGGACGACGATGATGCATAGTTCCACCATTAGTCTTCTTTCATCCTCTGATTCGTAGTAGTGTACAGTATATTTAGTGCTTGAGACGAGGCCTTGTGTTAGTAGGAGTAGTCTGTAGTGCTTGAGACGATGCCTTGTGTTCGTAGGAGTGGTCTGTGCAGGTCGTCATGACTGCATTTGTATTTGTATAGGTGGTTAGACTATTGTATACTATTTCCATGCACGGGTGCAGTTTGTTTTTGTTTCTTGTTTTATTTTATCATCGATGTTGTAGAGGATTGCACTTTTTTGAGTATTTCTTCAGCCACGGGCTCAGCAGGTGCAGTGCTCACAGTTTCATTTTTTGTTTCTCCTGTTATTTTTGTATCGATGTTTCTGACGATTCGACAGTTCTTTCGCACACCATTTGACTGAGTCCAGCGTGCATGTGTCTTTTATTGTTGTGTGTGTACGGCGCAGCTGTTTCGCCATGTTCTTTCGTTTGCCGGTAATGTTACACTTTCGAAACTTGTGCAATGATTGTTTCTTGCAGACTTGCAGATGATGGAGAATGACTCAATGGTTTTGAAAAATTATGTTTATACTTTCA